AACGTACCAATTCATCATGTTCATACTTGTTTTTTCGCGGGGTTTTAGTTTAGTTCAAATATATTTTATTTGCAAAAGTAGCAAAAGAGATTGGACATAAGTTTTAACAACATTAGTGACGTCCTCTCCCGCGGGTTTTTTAGAGAAGGTAAACATTCAGACGAAAAAATTCGTTTCTTAACTCTGGAAGAGTTCAAAAGATGAAAAGGTGACACAATTTGCGGATAATTAAGCGTTCAACCATTTAATTTTTGGTTTATAAATAATGCCATGTTTGTTTTCGTTTGAAAAGTTTCTCAGGTACTTTCATAGCTTACTTTACGGTATGGATTTTTCTCCTTTCTGGCCGTACATGTACGTGGTCTATTGTTACTTAAATATACGTCATTAGGACTCTTCTGCCTCTTGTGGATAGTTGTCTTGTTGGCAACCATACCACATCTCCTTATTTTATGTATATGTTTCTTTATTCTACATTGGCTAGAGGTATAGGGGAGGGTTGAGATCTCACAAAACATCATTAACCCCGCCGCATTTTTGCACCTGTACCAAGTCAGGAGCCTCTGGCCTTTGTTAGTCAGTATGTTTTTTTTAATTTTAGTTCATTTATATGTTTTGGAGTTGAGTATGACGTCCATTTGCACTGAACTAGCACACAATTTTATTTAGGGGCCAGCTGAGGACCACCTCCGGGTGCGGGATTTTCTCGCTGCATTGAAGACCCATTGGTGGCCTTCGGCTGTTGTCTGCTCTTTGGTCGGGTTGTTGTCTCTTTGACATATTCCCCATTTCCATTCTCAATTTTATATCAATTTCTTATATCATGAGTTTTAAATTTGCAGGAACGCTTACTATGGACGTATGTTGCACTGCATTATCATATTCCTTGCCTTTAATGAGACCTGGGGACAAAATACGTGCAAGTCGGTTATTTTAATATCTTTTCATACACGGATGTATGCATTTCACTTGATACGGTCCTCTGAGTTAAACAGTTTAAACTATGATTAAACAGTTTAAATCAGTCAATCAATACAGTTCACTTCCTTTATCAAATGAGTGCAGCTTTTCAAACTTCTTTTTCATCTCAGTTTATTTTGGCACCTCCTGCAGGAATGATAAATTTCACTACCATTGAGTAATACCATTGTCTGACTTTTCTCTTGAAGAAAAATAGTAAAATTGTAGGCTTTAGCATATACCGGTATATCATGTAAATGTATATTGCACGAACCGAAAAGCACAGCATTTATTATTAAATGTTGTGAAAGATCAAACTCTGGAAGAAAAATAGTGTAAGTCCAGCATAAGTATAAACATACTGGCTTCAGCCATAGTTATTTTAACCATTGGTTACGATGCTTTTATTTGTAAAAAAGGTTGAATTGAATTAACAAAATGTAAATGTTCAAACATGAGATAAATTTACTGCTTATATACCATTATTAACACATGACATAGGCAAATTCTCTTTTTTCTTATAGTGCTATAATCTGGATAATGCACAGTAAAGGTGTTCATTAACTACCTCAGATATACTGCACTGTTCAAATGAACTCTTATCTTCAGGGGCGGATCCATTTTTTTTTCAAAGGCATAGGGGTGTTATTCCATAAAAATAAGTTTGTCAATTTTAGGATTAACCTTAATTTATTTTCCAATCAAAAAAAAAAAAGGGGGGGGGGGGGGGCGTAAGTAAACTTTTTTTAAAACATTTGTTAATGGAAAAATAAATGTTCTTAGAAAGGTATCTTTATCTTCAGAGTTTTATATGAAAGTTATTTTATTTTGTCCGTCTGGCAGGTTTTAATTGACTTCGACCTCATTTTCATGGTTTATTTGACAGTTTTTAGTTGTGTGGTTGGATCAATTTCTCGAGCATTATAAGCAATAGGTCAATTATATGTAGTGTATGGAACAATTGTGAGGTGCCTGTCTGTGGGTCGGTGTTTACATGACCTTGACCTCATTTTAAAGGTTTATTGTTCAATGTTTAGATTTTGTGGTTAGATCTGTTTCTCATGTTCTATTAGCAATATGACAACTATAGTTGCCAGGTTCATTGATAATGTTAAGTTTATGTGATAATTGTAGTAAATCCTCCATATTACAGACTTTCAACATGAATTCAATGATAAGTAAAAATAAGGCGACATGTGCACTCTTACTTTGGTTATAAAATGTTTAAAGTGTTGATTAAAGAACATGTACCTAAATTTCAATATATTTTTGTTTCAGAGTGCTTAAGGAGCATCCTTAACATTTTGAGAGGAAAATGAAGATTTTGTTGAAGGGGGAAATGTGTTTGATACATTACTCACATGTTTGCCTGAAGAAGCTGCTGTTCCTTTGGGAACATGTCTTACTTGTTTTCTGATATGAAACATGGGGTACGTAAACGTATTTTTAACACCAGTCATGTGTTTTGTTTAAGACTTAATTAAACCTGTTTTTGTTATTTGTGTCTTCAGTTCGCTGTCTCCTTGACATATACCATTCATCTATTTTAAGACTCGATGATTGATTGATTGATTGGTTATGACTGGCTTAATGTCCAATGGCAAATATTTCATGCATATTCAGGAAGTTGGGAATGATACATGCCAATACTGATAATAATAAAGGAATATGCTTGTTCTTTATTCTTAAAAACAATAACAGATTAATTGATCCTGCATTAAACTTCAAATATTTCTTGTAGAGTGAGAAAATTGTTTTGAAACACCAGCAAAAAAGACTAGATTGTCATTCAGTCCTGACCTCATACAGTGTCTCTGCAGATGAAGATAGGTATGTAATAATGAGGTTTTAATTTGATATATTTTTTACTTTTAAATTGTAAAAGTGTGATTATTAAAAAAAATATTTCAGATTTATTGTGTATTAAAACAACATTGCAAATTGTTTGTTTTGCCTTTTTGTCTCGGTCTGTTAAATTTTAGTTTAAATTTTTTTTGGATCTACTTTTGCAACATTCAAACATATACATAACATAATTGAAAACTTTAAGATTTTAAGACACATTTATGAACGTTTTTCGACGATTTTAATGTGCTACCTATACAAATGTTCAATTATTTTGAAAGAATTCAATCAGTTATATTTCTGAAAATAAAAGAGATAAAGGTATCATCATCAATATGTTAAGCTCATATGGGGTTGCTGGATGAACAAACGGATGCAAAGACTAAAAGCAATTATTCCCCACTACCAGGGTTGGACATTAGAGGGTATCTGATTGCTCAGGACAAATGAAATGAAAAAGGGGGGATACCGCATATATATACAGCTTCAATTAAATCTCACTCTAGCAATTATAAAATCATTTTATCAGCCAATACTAAGAATATTATCTTGCTGTATCCAAGACTATAAACTACAATAAAGAGAGTGAATAATAAAATAAACAAAATAGACATCATAATTAAAATAAAAAAAAGACAGAAAGTTTTTTGACAGTTTCCTCATCAAAGATTATAAATTTTGGTATAATAACTAAAAATATTAACAAAATAGCTATTTTGATATATTTATTTATATCGTATACTCAAATGGAAAACATTTTTTTTTTCATATTTGAAATTGTTGAAAATTTGTCGTTATTTCTTTCAGATCAGGCCTTTCCAGAAACAAGAAAAAGGACAATTTTAAGCACGTTCATCTATGGAGACATGTATCTAAAAAATCAGATTTTTTTCAGTTTTAGTAGAACTTGTTGAATTTTTACTATTTTTAAACTGTTTATTTTACATTTATATGTTGATATTTTGTTTTTTAAAATTGCTGTATTTCTTTCATCTTGCTATTCAGTCCAACAAAACAAAATCTGCTGATATTGATATTTCCATATTTTATAGAAGTGTTCTTTTGCATTGTTGATAGCAGAAATATATTTTGTCTTAAGTTAGGTTTAAAAACATTCACATCCCAACTCCAAATAAAATACATTTTTATGAATGTTACATGTAAATAGACATGAAAGATAGAATTGTATAGGGAAAACTGTATCATGTGAACATATTGAATATTATCAAAAGCACTGCTGCCATAAAATAAATTTATTCTATGTAGTAGACAGTCCTACAGATCAGTGTATTTTTACCTGAAGACATTTTTATATATTTGTATAACCAGAAATAGTGTGAGTGTAGAATAAATTTATTCTTTGTCTCAACCTTAACGTAATTACTGTACTTTCATAATAAATTTGTTTTATATATTTTTAGATTCATAAATTTTAAATCACTTAGAGTGTAGAATAAATTTATTCTGTGTCTCAGCCTCACCATGCAGATAACTGTACTTTCATAATAAATTTATTTTATATATTTTTATATAAAACAAAAATCACATTAAATGTAGAATAAATTTATTCTGTGTATTAACCTCACCATACAGATAACTTTACTTTCGAAATAAATTTATTTTATATATCATTATAATCATAAATTTTAAATCACTTAGAGTGTAGAATAAATTTATTCTGTGTCTCAGCCTCACCATATAGATTACTGGACTTTCAAAATAAATTTATTTTATATATTATTATAGTCATGCATCACATTGAATGTAGAATAAACTTATTCTGTTTTTCTAGAACTAATAATAGATATTAAGGCTCTATAAAATAAATTTATTTTATAAATTATCATAAATACAGAAAAGCACCATGCATTTAGAATAAATTTATTCTATGTTGCATCCTTTACAGAGAGTTGACTGAAAATGTACAGCTAAGTGTAGAATTCAGTATAAATTTATTTTGAAATGTAACAAATAAATACTAATATAACAGAATTGTCTTCGTTTTTCATCTTTTTTACTCAAATACATGGATTATAGAATAAATTTATTACGTTCTGGTCCAAATTTAGCCCCTAATTGCACTTGTCAGAAATTAGAGGGAAAAAAGAGGAAAATTGGTTTTTTCCTTTTTTATTCTGCTCCCAGTTTGTAATAACTTTTGCTTTCTTTGTTATACTATGATTTTTCTTTTCCAGTGTTTTTAAGAATTGCTCATATTGAGACATTTAGAGATGTGTTGTAAGTATAAAACAAAATTGCAAGATATAAAGTTAAATATTTATACATTTCAAAAATTGATTTCTCATCAGTGGTTATTGAGACCAAATATTGTTAATCTGAATATATGAAAAAGGAATTAATAAATGATTACAAAGTCGAACCAGATCAAACAACAGTATATGGTATTCATAAAGAAAACACATTTAATGATTAGCAAAGGGGTGATGATTTAAACTTACTGATGCATTTAACCATTTAGGTACAACAACAAACAACCATATACATGTATAAGCAAAGCCAAACCTTTTGAAATAACTAACTATAATGTTGGCACCCTAGTGACACAGGGTACAACAAATTTGTTCTAATTTAGAAATATTTTTCGGGGTAGAGTCGGTTTTTGAACTTTGTTACATAACTAACAGTCCTGCAGACTAAAATATTTGGTCTAACGGTACAGATTTGGTGGAATGGCTAGACAGGTTTAGCCAAAAGTGTAAGCCTATGAAAGCTGGTCTCGTGTAAAGCCAACCTCTTCAGAGGAATTATAAATGGCAATTAAGATCAAACATTTGAAACGTATCTAAATTTTAATTAATCAAAGATTACTATTTAATTTCGCTAGAGGCCCTCTCATAAAAAACATTATATTTAAAGAAGGAAACCAATAAGCTGTGTCTAAGTATGGTAGTCAGTACTCAAGTACTCGAGAACTACTTGACATCCCTAGTTTATGTGTTAACTTCAAGCCAATAAAAAAGGAAGAAAAAGAGTAGGAGAATGAAAGATGGACAAACCATTTTAGTCAAACATTACAGCATAACAGTCTTTTTTTCTTCATGTTTTTGTAGGTCGACAGAGGTTGTGCCATGTTCATTTAGGAGGTATCTTCATTCTACCTCACAGTATGTGAATAAAATCAATATTATCAGAGCCAATTTAAATTATCTGGTAAGTGAACATTTACTACCTGACATGAATAAAAAAAGATATTTCTCTTATGATCAGGAAGAGATTAAAAAAGAAAAATTTTGTAAATACCTGTGAATTCCACATATTCAACCTCTTTTGAATCTTTCTTCAGTTCCAAGTCCTTAAGCAGGATGTTCACATGGTCCTGATGACCTCTAAATCCTAGTCAAATACCACTATTAATCCATACTGTGTTAATAAAGCTTGTGGGTTACCTGAAAATAAAACACTGTTTTACAATGCATTCATTAAACACATTTTAAACTAATAAATAATTTGAATATTTTTTTTTTTTCAATTTCATTTTGTTCCGCACAAATAGAAGTTTGAAATTTTGATATAGTTAATCCCCCGCATTAGGCAATGGGAGCATTATATGCTACCCTTGACTTTCCATCTTTCCGTCTGTCCCATTTTCGTTTCCGCACTCGACCTTAATTTTGCCTCATGGGCAGTAGGTCGCTTACTGTTCTATAGTTATGCCCCCTTTTAACTCGGAAAATTGCAAAGCTTGAGTGTGGGCATTCATGTCCTCAGACACACTCTTCTTTTATTTTTATAACATTATTTCATAACTTCAAGGGTTTTGGGGGTTATTGCTTGTGAAGCCTCATGTCATAGTTTATCCAATGGTAAAGTGTAAGCTCATACATTGCTGATATTTATAGGAGTAAATTTTCATAGCTGAGCTGGTCGTTATACTAGAATATTAGATGAAGTAATGTAACTGATGGAGCAGTATGTACAATTTAAGTGCATTTTAATACTTGTAAAATATTTAAGTAGATAAAAACTTACCAGTAAAGAATTGAATTCTAGAAGTGGGATGTCCTTTACGTCTCTGAGTTCCCTGTTTGTGGTCAACCAATCTGTGAAAATTTTCATGTTTGACTTTGGTTTGTAGTTTGTATTTCTATTAACATTGTCCTGAACAAACTATTCTGTTTCTTGTAATATAACAGTCCTAAAACGACCAGTCTAAACATTTTTCCTGTTTTCTCGGATCTTGTTTTCCTTATCTTCCTGATCATAAGAGATATCATCAACATCAGGTAAATCGTCAACATTCAGTTCATGAATAGTAAACTTTTAGTCATCCACGAATCCATCCCCCGCTCATGCAAATGCTTATGCTTGCAAATTTCCTTTTCTCCGAAAAAACCTCATTTTGAAGTACGTCATGATCCAAAATATCCATAGTATCTTCCCATGTATTGTGCATGTCAGTCTGAGACTTGGTCGGGGACTTCGATATTGTTTGTTGATGTCTGCTAAATTTAGAAAGCTATAGTCTATTCCAATATGTTTGATTTTCAGAAAATCTACAATAGTCTATTTCAGTTTACTCCCTGTTTAGCACGAAGTCTCCCAAAGCGGGGACACCACCATTTTCTCAATGCTTTCTTTTTCTAACCAGAAGTTAAAATCCTGTATCAGACAAGTTAAAATTCGGAATTAGCTGGTTTTTCTGTATTCAACCTGTATTAATGACCAGTTCTCAGACACACAGAATTGTTATATATGGACACATTAAGATGCATATTAAATCATTGGTTAATAATGTGTTTTATTATATGACTATAAATTTTCATTTTTCTCAGTGGCTAAAATCATAGGAAATTCTCTTTGATAAAATATTATATTCACCGCGGCAAAATTCACGAGAGGTTAATATAAGATTTGGAACAGCGTACGTGTACCTAAGTATAGATATTCCAAGGCAACGTCAATGACGTACGTTTATGACATCAAGTAAATTCCTGGGTTTTTTTCTTTTTCTTCTTGTTTTCGTTGTATTTTTTTGGTAAACTTTATTGAATATTTCAACTTATGGAAATTAGTAACTGCAGAAGCAGATGATATATTTAGTATAAAAACAAGGAGCAGTTTTAAAAGTATCTTGAGCAAATACTAGAAAATTGGAGAAGGATAAAAAGTCATATAATAATAAAACAATTGTTGACTTTTGATTTCTGCTGATACAATGATATATCAACCCCAGAGATATGACATTCACCCGCGGCCGTTGGCATCGGTGAATATATCTCTGGGGTTGATAAATCATTGTATCAACTGAAATCAAAAGTCAATAATTGTATAATATTACATTATGTTACATTATATTGCATTATATTACATTATACTACGTTATATTATATCATATAACATTATATTACATTATATTACACTGTATTACACTGTATTATATTATATTACATTGCAGAGTATTGATTGTGAAGATCCAGTTTCAGAAAGACCAGATCTTTTATTTGTTAGATCAAAGAAAAAATCCTATAAACTAGAAGTAGGACAGGTAATTAAAATACTTTCTTCATGCATATTTATGTATATACATATATAAGTATTGGGATACTTAGTTATTGTTTGTGGAATATCAATTTTATTTTTTATTTTTTTATTGAGTGTTGTGTGTTGAGGAAAAATTAACACTCATTGACTTCCACATAATCAGTCTGGTTTTACTCCAAAATGCTGCATTGTAAGTGAATAAAGAAGTAGCAAATACCAAGTTTTAACATGATCCCATTATTGATTTATTGTAGAACAGCATGATGGCAACTCAAAGAAGTTTCTGTATGATAACTTGCAAAACCATTAAACCAATCTTTTTCAAATTTGATATTTTGATTCTCATGCCAAAATGGAGGTAATGTTCATTAATTCATTTTCCATTTTTTTTTACATTAGTGTATTGTTCTCTATTGATTACAAAAAGGGGATTTATAGTGTTTCCATGCAGTAATTTTAAAACTATGGAACTTATTTATTTCAAATTAGAAGATGTTGTTTTCATGGACGTCCAATTCAATGTGATTATTTTCGCTAATGTTTTCAGTCTTTGATTGATTGATTTAATAGTGATGCTTTATTCTTTCTGTGAGATAACATAAGGGCCATTCAGCCAATCCTTTTCAAATGTGGATAAGTTGTTTTTCATGACAAAATTGAGGTCAAATTTGATTTTGACAAATTTTACTTTGCTGTTTTGGCGATATAGTCCTTGATTAATTGAAAAATGATGTCATTTCCTTTCAATAATACCAATTTTTTTCAGGGTTTTATATTATTGTTTCTTGTGTTATAATGGGGTATTAGTTTGAATTTTACAATATCCATTTATGCTTTTCATGAGTTATGGCCCTTGATTGCTTTAACAATGGCATCTACAAATGTAAGTAAAACCTGTCTTGTTGTCATTTCAAAAGCCTCTTGTAAAGTCTTGTGTGACTGATGATGGAACATGACACTGACATCCAGTGATCTCCCCAGGCCGTTTTAGCGTCGCTGCCCGGCGATGCTATAATTTTTTACCGTGACGCTATAATAATTTCCGCGACGCTATAATTATTTTGAGGACGCTATTTTTTTCTTGTCTGCTCTTAAATTGCCGCAATATCGATGTCCTAAATTTCGAACTTTCATCGAATTGCCGCTTGTGATCATAAAAATTATATCACCTTTAATTGTAATCCCTTCAAATCGGACATAAGAGGCAATTAAATTGATTAAATAGGTGTTAATTGCCCTTTGGGTGATAACTGTTTGGATACGAATACCCCAAGCTGACACTTATGACATGACTAATAACACGTGGACCAATTGCAAAATTTTGACATCGAGAAAATCATAAACAATTCCAAATCTACGTTTGAATCAAGGCAAATTCATCTCCTAAGAGAAGAAAAAAAAAAAAAAAACGAGCGAAATTAACAGGCTGGTCGTTTGTTATTTCAAACTTACAAATTGTAAAGAAGTGTTTTCTTTCCATTCCGGTACTCGAGAGCGTACATAAAACATTTCGATTCTGGGCAAAATAAGTTCTATACTTCATTAGAATGTGATGAAAATTGCCTTTAGGTAATGTTTCATCTATTTATTACAGTAAAATCGTGATATATTCATCCAATTCGCTTCTCAAACATTGTTTATTTTCGTAAATTTTTCTTCGACCGCCATTGATATATTTGTACTAATTACGGATCGGAAGCGGACCAGCTATGATAAAAATCTGCATTTATACGGTAATAACTACAGACGCAGAAACGGCACAGCTGACAGAATAATAATGATCCCAATAGGGAAAGCTACTCATTCCACACGAATTTACAGACTTTTTGTTAGATCTCCTTGCAAAATGTATTTATTTCTATGTAAACGCATTGTTTCAATTAATTTACTGATTAAAGTAGTTTAACAATGTTAAAAACATATATCTGTTTGAAACAACTGGGACTGATACATTGAGTCCCAGGAAATAATGAATTTCATAAACATGATAAACAGAATAGTTTTTAATTGAAATGGTATTACTATATGATACTTTCTTTTCCTTTTTGATATAAAAGAAGTTCTCTTTTGTACTAGATTTTTAGTTGGTAGTTTCTAACAAGAAAAATATAAATCTGTAACTATAAATGAATATTAAAGAAATAAACTAAAAGAACAGTTATACTTTAATTGTATTCTCAGTTATGAATTGAAAAAAATCAACATAACTTAAATGAAAGAGAGCATTGCCGCGACGCAACAAATGACATTGAAAAATAAATACAATTTTTTTTTACGCCAAATGTGATGCTATCCAAAATTCCTAGGGAGATCACTGCTGACATCCATTAGTAAAATTACTGTACTGTGTATGAAATTTATTTTTCTTTTCAGATAGCTCGATGGTTTTCACCTTATGGTTCAGTAGATATTAGTTTAAAAGGACCGTATTCAGCACTAGTTGCAACATCTCATTTTGGATGGTAGGTGGTAATTAAAGAGGCAATAGTTGTTTAATGATGTTAAAGCTAAGTCATCCATATTCAATATACAAATCAAGACAAAAAAATTTAAGGGAATTGTATAAATTTGAAATGGAAGGAGATCAGGTGCATTGACAGAGTAAGCTCCCCCTGCTATACATGCATTACCCATCATGTGAATCCAGAATTAATCAAAATGTCGCGATATGGAATAGGACACAATCAGTACAGATTAGATGTCTGTCGTGAGTTAAGATACAGACGTGGAATCAGTAAACCAATTCTTTTCGGTGATAAAAAAAATTTTGTTACATCAATTTTTGTAATTCTACCTCATAACCATGTTCAAAATTTTGTGTTAGGAGCATATACCTCTGTTTATGAAGTCTATACAGTGGGAACATGCATGTGCACAGCATATCAATTGAGATATAAAAACACCAAACAATGGGACAGATGACATGTGGGGGCAAACAAAAAATTGATTGCGGTCATAGTAAAATAGCAGGTTATATTCTTCTTATTTTTTAGTAGAAACCACTACTAAGTGGTGGGGCATATAGTGTTAGCCTTATACAAATAAGGAGATGAGGTATGATTGCCAATGAGACAACCATCCACCAAAGTTCAAATAAAGTGGATGTAAGCAATTATAGGCAACTGTACGGCCTTCAACAATGAGAAAAACCCATACCGTATTTTCTGCTCTTCTGTCGTAAAATCAATCAGTTGTCCAGAATTTTTGCCTTTATGCTTGCAGATATTGATCTTTTTTATTTGATGAAATTTTATTTACAAATATATATTTACAATAAAAAGTGAAAGGACAAAACCCATATTCACTTAAACATGATAAACATTGTTTAGGTCAATTGCTTGTATATAAAATGGTAAAATGTATTTTCAGTATATTGATGCTGTAATTCAGTTCAAATATAACATGTATTCTTTACACACATCAAAACTGAAAATCAAGAGTTACCCCTCTTATCATGCTTATTATGACAATAAAATTAAGTTTCTAATACCTCTCAAAATAATATTTTAATTTGTGATCCATTATATTTCATGTATTTAAAATAGGGTTTCTATATAAAAAGTATTTCTCAAAAAGATCTACATTGTAAACTCGCGTATATTCCGTGTACTTTTGTAGTGTATATTTAAGGAGCCTTGTGCAATCAGTATGTTTATTTTCAAATACTGTAAATTCAGAAATTATTGCGAGGTTTTTATTAATGCAAATAATGCGACTGGGTGAGTATCGCAATAATAAGAACTCACATTCTGATATCTGATGAATATATCTGTATGCAGCTTTTCCTCAAAGCGCAATAATTAATCTCGCATTTAAGTCAATTTTCCAAAAATCGCAATAATAAATGCTTGCAATAATTTTTGAATTTACAATACTTTTACTTGTCTAGTTTTGTAAATTGAAAGTCTTGCTACACCTAACATAAAATTTGCCCATTTAAAGTTAATAGGCGAGTCTTTATCTGTTTTTGTCTCGCTTTGACAGAGTCAAAAACCAAGATTTTGGCATGTTTTTTTCAGCATGTTGAAACAACTTCGATCCTTGGTCAATGAAAATCTTTTTACATACACACAAAAAATGTAATTGTGATGGCAATCATGCTTTTTCCCTGTTTGTCAATCTCTTAATGATCTGTCTAGATTATCTGCAATAATTTAAAAATTATTTGGTTCTCAAAAGTGCATGAAATTCACTTATCTCTAAAAGTCAAGTGAAAAATATATTGACATGTAACTTAACTGAAATTCACTTGTCAGAATCTTTTGGATTGTAGATGATATGTATATGATACATCTGTTGAAATATTATCTTATTAAAGTCACATAATCTTTGCAGATTGAAGTTGAACATATATTTAATTCTTCTACTTGTTTAAAGGGCTCCATAGCAGCTAATGATGGCTGAATGGTTGATTGGATCTGGGTCTGATTTTGAGGAGATTATTTTCAGGGGGTAACAGTAAACAAAAATATCAGCAATTAGAGGAGTGCATTTAATACCAATTGGAATTCCGATATTTTTAGGAAAAATAATTTTGCGATAACAAACAAATATATTGTAAACCAAGATTTTCTATGAACAGTGAGACTGTTTCTTACTTCGATTAACTGTGAAAAATCTATGTTAGTTAAAAACATCCTTAACATTTAGTCTCTGGTAAATAGTTGTCTCATTGGCAATCAAACAGCATCTTCTTATTTTAATATCTCTACAGAGCTCTTGTTAATAAGCCTGTTGAATTAATTATGTTATATTTCCTTTTTCTTTTCCAGTGCTAGAGACATTTTAAGAAATTTCAAAAGACATGAAAAAATAGCAGTATCAAAATACAGTGTGTGGAAACATTCTCCTGTTGTGAGGAATGTTTTCATGTAAGTATAGAAAGTATAAAAATAACATTGAATGTTTGTCTTCTGATAACATTGTTCTTTTTGCAACTGGTACCCATTATAAGAATGAATGAGCTTCTATTATTTGGAATTACCCTCACTAATGGAGTGGGCTGTGTTCTGGATTCACCTTGTCTGTCCCTTCATCTATGTGTAAATTTTGTTGCATGTTACTCAGTTTCTGTTGAATAGAATTATTTGACATTTGGTCTGGAACTTTTAATGAGTTTTATGAGTTGTACAGTACACACAATTTTAAACTTTACCAGGGAATCACTTCCTGTTTGAAGATTTTTATGTTACTATAACTGTGATAATGAAATTCTTGTTAATGAAGAATACCACCATCTGCTCGTTTGAGAGCCCATTCAACTACTCTTTGTTGGATCTGTAAGTAGCCTTTTGCAAGCCAAAACTTTTGCTCATATCCAACATACCCTCTTTTTGCAATGCAGTCTAAATTTACTGACATTTACATCCCAATTAGATTTTTTTTTATATCTTCTTTTCCAGCGAAATATGCATGAAATATTTTATAATCAACAATGAAATTTCATGAGTGTATTTATATGCTGGCTGCTTGTATTCGTTATATATCCTTTAAAATTCTGTAATTAATATTACATTTATACATAACCTCTATAAAGTAGCAATAAGTTGGAACGGGAAGATAAATTCTAAGATATTCATGGAGTTGGACAATTTATTTTTATACAATCAAATCTTAGATAATTAAATTATCATTATTATGGCCATTTAAAAAAACACATGTACCAGTCAAATTAAAATTCAATGTTGTCATTTAAATTGGTATATTAACCTAGAAAAAAGATATTTAGCCTTGAGAATTGAAAGGTAAGTTTATCCAATTGAACAATAGGAGTTGATAAATTTGGCTTCATGCCATTTACCTTGTCCAAAATATAGGACACATCTTTGTTATTCCTTGACCAAAATGACTGAGTAAAAGTCCAAGGTTTATTTACCAATTTTGATGGCAACATAGAATTGTAATTTGACTGGTACAGGTGTTTTTCAAATGACCATAATTTGGATGAAAAAGACTATGAAAATTTGAGCATTATCTCTGCTTTACCTATTACCGTAATCGGGCTTGTATAGTTCGCACTGGTACATAGTCCGCACCCCCTTCTTCCCACGAAATTTTTGGTAAAAAAACTTTTTGTAACTGTTAGAAAAGGTCTAATGAAACTCAGGTAATTTCAAATAGTGTGTGGTCGTATGCGGTATTTTCTTGGAAAAACCTATTTTCCATCAACAAACAGAAGCTGAAACTGCTTGTAAATGATTCTAAAAGCCTTCACGATTGTTAAAATTAGTCTAAATCACACAAAAAACAATTTAGAAACTTGTTTATGTTTAAACCAGAAGTTTGAAAAGCACGTGTAAAAGAAGAGAAAAAACAGTGAGAGTCGAAATCCGTACATACTAGATATCAATATAATACGACTTTGAAAGTAAAACAGTTCCATCCTGATGTAAAATAGTGTTAAATATATCTATCACATTAATGTTTGAAGGGTTTTAAGCTAATAAATAACATATTAGACAGTATGAAACACCAAAACAGAACGTATAATAACCGATTACGTTTTGTAATTTACACATCGCAAGCTGGTTTACGGTTGTCTTTTTTACTTTTTTTGTACAGTTTCATTCAAGCAGATACCAGTTTATTTTATAAGCAATGCATTGAAAAGAAAAGAGAAATTTGTTATGAAGCGTTTAATTTTTAAATTTATCAATATTAATTTGATATTGAATAATAATAAATTATTTTAATATGGATTAGGTAAAATTATTAGTTTGAAAAATGATAAGAGCGCCCTCTACAATATCAATAACAAACATGGCGGAATGAAAATAAACCACCTTGCGAAATTGAATTTTTTCTCTTATTTCTTGCTTATTGTACTCTATAGTCCGCACCCCTGCTGGCAGGTTCAATTTTGGAGAATAAAACCGCGGACTATACAAGCCTTTTAACGGTACATGACATTTTATTTAATTGACTTACTATTTTCTACTTTCAGAGCTGGGACATTGTTATCTGGTGGACTGTGTGCATGGGTGTTATGGTCTAGTAGAAAACAACCAGCATGAAGACAATATATGAAGTTTAGTCCAATATGTCTGTGATACTTGAATAAATGTGTTCATCTTTTTTATTCCTTTCATTAGCCAATCCAACAGCTTTTATTGTTTGTTTGCAGTAAGAATAATGTAGGGACACTGTTTACCTGAAATCATACAACTGCTATAAGATCCGATAAAATGAATTAGATTATGTTGGATTTAGACGTTTTGAATACATCAGCATTAAAGACAACAATACTCATAAATTACCGCAAAGTAATAGTTGACATGGTCAAAATTATTTGGAATTCCAGACAACCAATTTAGAGAAAAGAGAACGGAACCAGAAACAGAATGAACCACAGGACCCACACAATATGTTTATGAATCCAAACTTGATCCCTGGACATTTTTCAAATAAATTGAATGTATACAGATCTACCACGATTTTTATAATTCCCAATACCAGTGGCGATCATACATCTCATAATATTCCTGACGCAATTGGAAGCAGTACCTCCTAAAGCGAAGTCAGTTGAATTGGTACAGAATTACCAGTGAGGTGTTGTCCATTAGGGAATTTAAACCGAACATTTTATCATCAACTTTCATCATCTCTATAACTTACCTTCACTTTCTTTTCAACTTAACTATTCTTATTTCACTCCACTTTCTATTTTTATCAATAACATCGTCATAACAACAATTATTGTAACATTATTTCTGGTTAACTGCAATAACAGCAAAATTTGTACTTCACTTTATATTTCATATGTATACTTGTCCTGAAGACACCACACTTACTGGAGAAAATTTAAAACTATTATATTGCGGTAATTTATGAGTGTTATTGTCTTTAATGTCGATATATTCTTACTTTTTCAAAGACAACTGTGAATAACTAGAGGTATGAAGTTGATTTTACCCTACAGCACGATCATCACTTCAGGCGTTGTTCACTTAAACAATTACATTTTGAATACATGTATAGATGCTTTGTAGTGTTTGTACAACTCTAAAAGCTCAATTATTTGTATACTGATAAGCTCATTAGGCCACATTTTATATTATATGCTGAAATTATTTGGTCAAGTGTAATCAAAGTTGCCAAAAATGATGTTTTTCCCTTTATTTTTAGATTGGAGGAAGCAGGTGTTGATTGTGATAAATGTAATTCAATTTTCAAATAATTTTTTAATGTAATAAATCACATAGACATTACATTTCAAAATTTATAAATAAAAAATTTAAGTCCCTTAATTAAGATTCCTCATTACCTGTTTATTAGGTGGCATACATTAATAGTATTGATGTCTGATGTACTTCTATTTTCACATTTTGATATTTTTCTGTCTGAAACATGGAATATATAAACCTTGGTAAGAATAATGAATAGAATGTCCACTGTTGAATATCAAAATCAGATAAAAATAAGGATGATGATAGTAATGTTTTATTCTTATTGGTTAAATTTATTCTTTTCAATTTAGATAAGAATTGTTATTTATAGTTCAACCGTAACTTTATAATTGTGTCATGCATTATATTTTTGTGGAAATATAAACAGTAAATTCTGTCTTAAATAAAAAAAAAAGTACTTAAAGAAATTAGGAATTCAGTTGTGGATTATAGGTAAATATTGTCCAGGAACAGTGAACTGTTGTGCCTTCACCATTGGATAAAAAAATCTGTGTTTCATAAGAAACTGCTACAACAGAAAAATGTACTGCATCTATAAAACCAACTATTTTTAGATTATTTATTATATTAAAGATAAGGAGATGGGGTATGATTGCCAAAAGACAACTATCCACCAGAGTTCAAATTAAGTGGACATAAGCAAATATAGGCCACAGTATAATTATAAGTTATTTATTCACTTATCAATTGGTTTCAATCATTAAAATTTTGCAATAAACTTCATATAGTTTCTATGAATAAGAATACCCGATAAATACACATTCAACTCTAAATATAAAAACTACTGTTCTACATATTTTACTTTTGAAAGGATAATAACATACCCCACCCAACAAAGTTGTGGAGGATATAATGTTTTTGATCCATCCATCCATCAGTAATTTCAAATCACAACTCCTCTGAAACCACACAACAGAATATCATGAAAATTTGTAGATAATTAGGCCATATAATGTAGATGTGCATATCGAAAGGAAATTATGATTCATTTTTTTTCTAGGAGTTGTGCCTCTTTGAATTGAGAAATTTGACCATGAAAATTACTGCAACAGTTTGTCTGCACAACTTGTCCGAAATCACACAACAGAATTTGATGAAACTATGAAGATATAAAGGACATATTATGTAGATGTGCATATATATCGACAAAAAATTAGGATTTAAAGTTTTTTCTAGGAGTTCTAGGAATTTTGAGCCTAAATATACTACTGCAACAGTTTGTTACCACACAACAGAATTTCATGAAATTGGTAGTTAATGAGGACATAATATGTAGATGGGCATATCAACAAGAAATTTTTATCAGTTGACTTTTGTAGGATTTACGAGTCTTTAATCTTAGCAATCGGGTGAGATTTTGTTTACCCAATGACAATGTAGGGGGGTTGGGTACATGTATGTAATCGTGCTTTCAAAGGTTCTTTCATTATTATACTGTTTGATTCATAAAAATCAAAATGAGTGAGTCGGACGAATAAAATAAAATCAATATAATATTGAAGTAAAATCAAAGTTATTTGTACTTCATATTGTACCTGCTCTGTCCTCAAATTTAGCGAAATCTAGTTCATAACTAGTTAAAAGTTATTGAAACACAATTAGTCCCATGTTTGATTCCCGCAGGTGACGATGTGATTTTGTAATAGAAACCTTGCTCTACTGTTATACTTTGCACCCAAATGAAAACAAACACGCGATAGTAAGAGGTGATATATAGCCGGGGTTTGTGTTGTAAAGAGCCATAATGGTATAATGACTTGAGGTGGGGGAAGTGGAGTATTTCAGTCAGTTAGAGTGCTGACTTGAAGCACAAAGTTCCCGGGTTTGATTCCCGGAGGTGACAATGATTTTCTATGGTTTATTGTTAATCAGAGAATTTGGTGTTGATTGGACATCTTTAATTGTTTCTGTTGAGTTTAATTACAAAAAACTTGTAGAAAGTGGACAATTAAGAGCTTGACATATTAAATGGACATCTGTCTGTTGTTGAGGAATGTATGCTCCCTTCTATAGTTCTTTTGAATACTGTTTTCGTTGAATTGCTGTCCAATTGACGTTTATAGAAATAAGAAGATGTGGTATGAGTACCAATGAGACAACTCTCCATCCAAAAAATAGCCTTTATCTCATTTTATTCTTATTAACTGGGAAATTCTAAACATTCGGAGTTGTAAGTAGAATTATGATTTTATTGGCTCGTCTTTTTTTTGTCGAGCCTGGCCTGTGACTTCTGTCGCAGAAAGCTCGACATAGGGATAGTGATCCGGCGGGGGCAGCGTTAACAAACTTCTTATAAGCTTAATATTTCAGAAGGTAGAAGACCTGGATCCTTCATACTTTTTATATAGATGCCTTATGTTATGAAGTTTCAGTCTGTCATATGTCCATTGTCCTTGACCTCATTTTCATGGTTTAGTAACTAATTGAAAAAAAGTAAAGATTTTTTGTAATGTTAATATCTCTCTTATGAGTAATAGGATAACTATATTTGGTATGCTTGCAAGGTCCTCATGCCTGTCAGACAGTTTTCACTTGACCTCGACCTCATTTCATGGATCAGTGAACAAGGTTAAGTTTTCGTGGTCAAGTCCATATATCAGATACTATAAGCAATAGGTCTACTATATTTGGTGTATGATTGTAAGGTGTACATGTCCAACTTGCAGGTGTCATCAGACCTTGACCTCATTTTCATGGTTCAGTGGTTAAAGTTAAGTTTTTGTGTTTTGGTCATTTTTTCTAATACTGTATGCAATAGGTCAACTATATTTGGTGTATGGAAATATTTTACGATGTACATGTCAGTCTGGCAGGTTTTATTCGACCGTGACCTCATTTTCAGGGTTCATTGCTCAATGTTAAGTTTTTGTATTTTGGTCGTTTTTTTCTAAAACTGTAAGCAATAGGTCAACTTTATTTGGTGTATGGAATGATTGTAAGGTGTACATGTCCAACTGGCCGGTGTCATCTGACCTTGACCTCATTTTCATGGTTTAGTGGTTAAAGTTAAGTTTTTGTGTTTTGATCTGTTTTTCTTAAACTATACACAATAGGTCAACTATATTTGGTGTATGGAATGATTGTAAGGTGTAAATGTCTGTCTGGCAGGTATCATATGACCTTGACCTTATTTTCATGGTTCATTTGTCAATGTTAAATTTTCATGGTTAAGTTTGTTTCTCAGATACTATAAGCAATAGGTGAACTATATTGAATGCATAGATTGATTGTAAGGTGTACATATCTGTCTGGCATGGTTCGTCTGACCTTGACCTCATTTTCATGGTTCATTGGTCAATGTTAAATTTTCCTGGTTAAGTTTGTTTCTTAGAAACTGTAAGCAATAGGTCAACTATATTTTGTTTATGGAATGATTGTAAGGTGTATATACATGTATTTCCGGTTTGGTTTATCTGACCTTGGCATCATTTTCTTGGATCATGTTAAGTTTATGTGATACTTGTAAAAAAGCTTTATAATTAGGACTATCAACATAAAATCAATGGTCAGTAACACTACAAACCAGTAAAAGTCTGAAATGGCCTATATCTGTACTCGACTGTACTGATTTTTACTCGACCAGTCTGAATTGGTCTGAATTTTACTTAGTATTACTCGACCCAGTCTTAACCATACTCGACTGTACTGATTTGTACTTGACCCTTATCTTTGCTATTGAAAATAGTCTCAACTATTACTCGAACAGTCTGAAACAGTCTTAACCCAGTCTCGACCAATACTTGACCAGCTCTCGACCTATTTTTTTTCAGTCTGAACCATACTCGACCAAAGGTCTGAACAATTCTCGACCAATCTGAACCATACTTGACCAAATAACCTCTTCTTTATAATTTTGATTGCTAAAATAACTTTCTTTTTAACTGACATGACAACAGCCACAATTAAATAAAGATATATATAAAAACAGATTTTTACATCCTTTAATAATACATGATTCATTTAGATTTGTCAAATCGAGATAGTTAAATTATCTAATTTTAAAGTCTGAGTCTTGTTAGATAAAAGACTTTTTTTACCTGAAAACCACACCTATACTGAGGGTAATAAAACCTTATCAAAAATAAGGTGCTTTTTGTTTGGCATGTGTTTTTTTTTTTTAACAAAACTTGATTTTCCTAAATTCCTAAACAAAAACGAATGTAGGTCAAAAAGTCACAATTCAGTTTTGAGATTATTTTTCTTTGAACTTATTTTTAAAAAACATTTTTTATTTTTCTTGAAACAATATCAATAATGATCAAGTAATTGTTAAGAAAACAAAATGTTACAGTGTCTTGGTACTTAAATGCCTTCATGATGCCAAGAATTATATCCTTTGCATGATTAACATTTTATAAATCTTTATTTATCAAGTCTTATGGACAATTTCCTAAACTGTAAAATGAATATGTGTAATAAAAAGTAAACATTTCAAGATCTTTCTCATAAATATTCAAACAATTGTATACAAATTATTTGTGAATTTTTGTCCTATCAAATTTGTGACTTTCTGTACTTAGGTTTTGTGGTTACATACAATAGTTATACAACTATCTTTTTAATGAGGTAACAACAGCCAACAAAATCACTGACATTGTTTAACCTTTTATCAGAAATAAATCTATTCCTATTTATAATTTGGGATATATATATATTTTTAAAAGGGATAAACAATTAAAGAAATTAATAATTTTTTTCTTCTGATTAGGGGTAAACTATAAAGTAATACATCCTGCTATGGGCACACTGATTAAAAAGATCACACCTGGTCAGAGAGTAACACATTTTAAATAACATCCATTGAAAATTAAAACATCCTGTAAAACTTAAATAACAAGGCCTTTTGAATTCACTAGATAAGTAATACACGAGTTAAAGAAAAATATGGGTTTCTTTTTACCTGTAAAACACACCTGTACTGAGGTAATTAAACCATTAAACCTTACTAAAGTGCTTCTTGTACGCCATGTCTTTAATTTTGACAAAACGTATTTAAATTTAATTAAAATAAATTTCTACTGCAACTTTGGAATACATTTCCTTTTTTAAAAGGTTATCAAAAATACAAGGATTGCTATGAAAGTTTTATTATTATCATTATATTATATTTTTGGTTTTACAAAACAAAGGTGTCAATTTTAACATTTATTAAGTTGCTTTATACACTATTTTATATATATTTTGATAAAAAAAAAATTTGAATAACAGTTAAGATATTTGAATAATGTTGAAAGTTCTAGTATTTTTGATGCATAAATCAATGTGAACATGATATCATGTATATAAAATTCATTTAACGAACTTAATTTATTACATGATATTTTTTTAATCCAACCAGAAATTTGATCATCTTGTTTTATTTTAATTTTAAAGGTGATATACATTATATATATATATATATATATAATTATGTATGTATAACAGTTCCTAAATTGATGAAATACAATAGATAGATACAAAAAATAGGTCTAGGTTGTTTAAGACTTGGTCGAGTATGGTTCAAACTAGGTCGAGTATGGTTCAGACTGGGTCGAGCATGGTTAAGACTTGGTCGAGAATGGTTAAGACTATGTCGAGTATGGTTCAGACTCGTATAAAATGGTTAAGTACTGGTCGAGTACAAGTTCAGACTGTTTAGTATGGTTCAGACTACAGTCGAGTAATATCAAGTAAATTTCAGACCAATTCAGACTGGTCGAGTAAAAATCAGTTCAGTCGAGTACAAATATAGGCCATTTCAGACTTTTACTGGTTTGTAGTGTAAAACAGGCAAGACATTTCAGCGTGTGCACTCTTGTTTTTATTATTCTTTATGAAACAAATGTTACTCCATTTAATGATTAAGGTTATCGCCTGTTTCTATGGTCCTTAAAATTTTAAATAAATAAATAATTTATTGTATGCTATATACTTATTTATACACACATAAAATGGAGTTAAGATATAATACACCTTTTTTTAAAGACAAATAGTCACAAAGACTTGATTTTTAGTAGGTTCATATACTTTTTGATCTTGAAGATGGATGTTGATAAATTCCGTTGCAAAAATCAATGTAACAATAACAGATTGATCTGTTAACAACATTCATTTTGCACCTGTACCCCAAGCCATAGTATTTTGAAAAAAGTTTGATGAAAATGTGTAACTGCCTTATTGTGAAGAGAAAGTGGGTACATCTTTTTCATTCAAGCGTTTTTTGAGTCCACTGTTTTTTCCTTTGCAAAATAAAAACAAATGATACATCATCACGCTTCAGATGACTTTTATATTTTAAAGCTAAATGTTGATGTAATTACATCTAAAATTTACATTGTTAGAAAACTAAATATTTAAACCGAGTGAAATCCGTTTGTAATAAGTCCTCATATTACAATGTAGACGTGTTTTAATAACAAAGTAACCTTGTACTGCCGAATACGTAAATATTTTAAACCTTAACATGTTTAAGTATATTTCTTACTCGTAAATTTATTTTCTTTTCTTTGACACGTTAGCAAAGTGAACTTAAGTCGTATTAATTGTCTTATTTATGAAAACATACCATAAAAATAAAAGCCAAACGCACCTATGTGCACTGACATCCCTTAAATGTATGCAAAACACCCTTAATGACTGAGTCATGAAAATATGAAATGTCCTGTTTCTTATCTGTAGCTAAACATTTCAAGGTGATCCCTTCATGAAATATTTTAATTTTGTTTATTATTTTATTGAAGCTTCCATAATTCGCCTTAACAACCAACCAGACATTATTTTTGGAAGTAAAATAGCATATAAGACTGTACCAAATGGTGCTAATTATTATTTGAAGGAAACATCGGTCTTGCCAATTACAAATTTTAGATGGGAATCGTAATGATGCAATATAAATTGAAATAAACAGTTATCAAGACCCACCCAACAGTTGTATTTATGAAGTTACCAGTTCCATATACAAATTCATTAAAAGTTAATTTAAAGGAATAACGTTTTGTTTTTTCTATAAAAATTCTGGTACTTCTGTTATATGGAATAGTACAGGAAAAACAAATGTAATACACATGACGTATTTTTCATGAACTTAACCAAACCATCGAACAGTAAAGACATTGAATGATTGAACAGTAACAGCGCAATTGTGGTTGTACAGTCAATAAAATATCATGACATTTAGAAAATGTTTTTTTTACAATTTTCAAAGAGAACGGCGAACATAAATATCAGAAAAGTTTGGTGGCCGGTTAAGCCCATTTCGTGTTTTCGCATTTTCGACTTTTCGCCTTTCATATTCTGTTGGGCGAAAATGCGAAAACGCGAAGTCGAAAATTCGAAAACTATTTAATTATAATAACTATTAGTCCCATGCATACAGTAACATTGTTTCTCCTATCAAAGTAAATCAAACATATCTAGGTTAATCTAGTAGTACTCTGACAAAATATTTCTTCAATCATAGCATTATTCAATTATATTTGTATGATTGTGCGTCATCATGATGATAACAGCATATGTCACAAACCATATTCAGGATCACATTTTTGGGGGTATAAATTAAGTTTCATAATTGATAAGAAAAAAAAGATCAGTAGAAATTTGGATTCACATTGAATAAATTATTTTGATTTTTTTTGGAAATTCAGCTGCATGTAAAGGACACTTTTATGTGAAATAAAGCATTTAATCATTTATATTCATTAAATAGTCTAAGCTTTCTGTTATTACTTTGTCTGGGTTGACTAAACCAAAGGTCCGGTTGACTTTGTCTCCAGGCCGACTTGTCCCATATTCATCATAAGAGCGTTTGACAGATCATGATTATTTTGCCTTATCGTAAACGCTAAGGTAACATAGATATTGATTTTCTAATATAAAAAAATCTGCATATTTTTTAATATTAAAAATCCATTAACTAGTATTAAAAATGATAGGAATTTTTAATATTAAAGATTCGATTTATTAATATTAAAGATTCGATTTATCAGTATCAAAAATTCGATTTATTAATATTAAAAAAATATTTTTTAATATCAAAAATAATTTTTTTTAATGTTAAAAAGATATTTTGTAATATTAAGAAATCATTTTTTAATATTAAGAAATTATTTTTTAATATTTATGAATAGGGAATAAATTTTAAACGGCTTGCCATAATATTAAGTATAATTCTATTATTGTTAGTAGAACACACATTGTTGTTAGTTTTCAGAGGTACTTCTCCAGGATTTTCTCAATCTTAATGAAATATTTATAAAACTTTATATTTGGATTAATTTCATGAAAATCTATAAAGATAAACCAGATTTTGTAAAATTCTGCATGTTCTCTTAGTTCACTCAATATAATTATCAATTATCAATTATATTGCACACTTGAATGAAATTAACATATTATATAAGATAAAAAAAAAAATCCCGGCCTTTCAATAAATCTGGCAGCTCTTCATATGACATACGCTCACCTAAATCATGTGCACACAGATTTGTTTAGATGACTGACCTGCAATTATTTAATTTTACCTGCATGGCGAACAAAAGAAGTTAAAAATATTCACAAAAACAAATTGCATTCAAAATACGTGTAATTCTATTTAATCAATATTTAAACAATATGGACGATATTAAATGTGCAATCCTTAAGGAACTTTATGGAGAAATATTGGACGATTTAGATCCGATCTACATACTACCATGTTTGTATGAGATACTACCCAGCAAAGTATGTAATAAATTTAAACAAATGAAAGAAAGAACAGACAGAGTTCATTTGTTTATGGAAATGGCTCTCAACTGTATGACTTTAGAAGACATTTTTCAAGCGTTTTCGTATCAAGGCGCATTTGTATTTTTGACCAAAAAAATACTTAACAAACTTAAAGTAAAAATTCAAAATGATAAAGTTTATTATACAATAAGAATAGGACTTTTCACGAGACATCGAAAAGAATTAGTAGAATTTAGACACAGACTAAAAATGTTTTCTTTAACTGGCGATCAAAAATCATTCGACAAGGAAGTAAATCAAGTAGTTTCTTTGTGGAATAACGACAACTATCGTAGGTCTTTACCAGTTACAGGGCGACAGAAATTAGCGGATAGATACTTCTTCGTGAGGGATGCACAATGTGAAAACATACGCCTGAAATATGAAGAGACACTGAAAAACACTGACGTTCTACGGGAAATAGAAGAAATAGCTAAATTTTCAACCAACCCTATATTAATTGATATGATGTACCTGGCTCGGAAGGCATCTGCTATGATAATGGCTGACCCTGACTCGCACGAAAACGCTTATAAAGATTATTTAGAAATTGCAGAGCAGCATACAGAGCTGGTACCTGCTTGTCGTGAAACTGGGCTTGTATTCTATATCAAATATAATTTCATTTGTCTCAGATATGAAAAATGTCTTGACAAAAAATTAAAACAAGAATTGTTCAATATTGCTGGTAAAGCTGTTGATCATTTTACAAGAGAATACGAACAAGTTGCCAACGATTTTCAAAATATTTTTAAGATAAAACTGGCCCATTTACAATTAGGAATAGGCGTTCTAGGTAGTATAATAGAAGATGCAATTATAACAGAAGAAGAAATAAATGATGCAACAATGAGTTTGAGTAAGCTGAATGAGAAACAATTATCAAATAGGTGGAAATGGGGCTATTATATTGCTAAATCAAAAATACTTTGGTTGAGAAGGAATTTACACGATGCCCTAAAATATGCAGAAATTGCATATTCACATGCAGTGAAAGGAAAATTTAAAAAGGAAGTTAAAGGAACTGAGGATATGTTGAATGCCATACGATCGGAACTGTGTGGCAGTTCTTATTTGACTACAACAAAACAAAACACAGACCAACAAGAGCTAAACTCACAAAACTTGCCCCAACCAGATTCAACCGGATTATGTGATGTTCTACAAGGTCCCAGTATCCGTGAACCAGAACCTCTTTCTAAGCTACCACAACAGCAGTCTCAACCTCTTAATAATTTTCAATTGATTTTAGATGCAATAAACCAAATGGATCGGAAGTTAAGCAAACTAGACATGCTTGATGATTTAGGTGCTAGAATGTCAGTATTGGAAACTCGGATTGATAATATTAACAAACCTGATATGCTTAATTATTTAAGTGCGAAAATGTCAGCTTTGGAAACCCAAGTTAACAAAATGAACAAACCTGACATGCTTAATTCCTTGAGTGATAGAATGACAGCTATAAAATCTCAAGTTGATAATATTACACGTGAAATGACATCTTTTAAGCAAGAATTTAATGAACAATTTGAAAGATTTACAAGTGTTGAGAGGAGACTTGCCAGCTTAGAAACCGAGATTGAAAAACTGGTGGTTGAGAATAAGGAATTGAAACAGACACTTTAAAAATACAGTTGCAATAGTTAAAATGATAGAATGTCTTAATGAGCATACAATAACAGGAAAGAATGATTGCATTGATCAGTATTATAAAGTAGATAGAACTTAAAGAAATGAAAATATACCTCAATAATGCAAAAATGTCGATACTTAAAAAAGAAGACTATTTTACAATGTTTAGATGTCAGCTTGTTCTAATTCTTACTTATGTTCGAAAACATAACAATTGACATTTGTTTGGATACAACATATAGATCTGCCCATGCAATTGTAGACCTTGGTTGATGAATTAACAAGTGAAGAATGTTTGCTTACCCTTATTGCAATGCAATCAATAAACATGCTGTACAGAGTTAATATTTACAGGGTATAAAATACTATTTTCATTTTCGACCCTCGACCCTCGACATTTGTCAAATATGACAATAGGTTTAACATTATATCAATCAATCAATCAATCAATCAATCAATCAATCTATCAAACAATCCAGCAATAAATTATTCAAAATATTTCAATCCATTAACCAACATATATGATGAAATATTTGAAGGGGAAATATTCATGGTCAATTTGAGAAATACAAGTACTATTGGAAAAGGATAAAAGATTAAGATGTGTTTGTTTTAGTCTTGAGGTGCATGGTTTTGCAGGCTACTTGTTATTCCTTATCTAGTTATTTTTATATTACTTAACAAAGCAATTGAAATTCGTGAGAAAAATGTGTAAGAGACAGGCAGAAGATACCAAAGGGATTAGCACACTCTAAAGTCGAAGATAAATTGACAACACCATAGAAAAAAAAACCCCGGAAAACGACCAAAAGACAAACAACAATTATTCACTTAAAATAGATATAAAAAAGACTGCAATATTTTTTTTTCTTCTAGATTTTGATATTTCAGTTTCAGACGGAACACTTTATACCAAAATTTACCACAAAAGAGACGAGTTTGCGTTCCCGATTGCTAATTGTCCGTTTTTTGACGGTGATGTTTCTTGGTCTCTTCTTATGTAAATTTCACACCTTGTTCACTATGCTTGTGTCTGTGGTCGAGTTTTCGATTTCTGTGAACGTAAATTGCGTATAACTGGTAAACTATTAAGTCAGGAATTTCTCTACCACAAATTAGTTAAAACATTTACCAAATTCTTTCATAGATGCAAATATTTGGTTAGAACGTTTGGCTGTACCTGTAGAATTCCTATTAAAAACGGGAAATCACATCGTAACTTTTACGGTTATGTTGTTATAGAGCCTGGAAATTTATGTACTATCTATGTAAACTCATTCATCATTTGACTGAACTTATTCTTAAAGGTTACCAATTTAGCACAGTAGTAAAATTTTAAATATTTTTTTTTATCGTTACTAACATTGTTTTTGTTTTTGAAAATTAAAAATAAATGCATATATATTTATATTATTTATAAAGTTAGGATAATCTCATGATCCTACATCCTGTTAGTACTGTTTACTCATATTTTGGCCTTACACAATGTCATGCGTTTCTCAGACAGTTTATGGCGTCCGTACACTAAATCCGTTGGATGTATTATGGGAGAACATGATTCATTTATTAGTTGTCATTGGTTATGAACTAGCTTTCAGTAACTGCGAGTACTCTTATTTCGGTGATTTGTGTCAATTGTTTTATGTCTTATGTTTTTAGGCTTCCTACTGATCTTTTGTTCTTATTTTGTGCTTTTTAACCACAGTCCCAGGTAAGGGGAAGGTTGAGCGATCACAAACATGTTTAACCTCTCTACATTCTTTATGTGCCTGTCCCAAGGCAGGAGCATATAGTTCAGTTGTTGTTGTTCGTTCATGTCTGTCATATTTGGTTTTCGTAAATTGTTTTTTTTTTTTAAATTAAGCCGTTATTTTTTAATTGTTTCGCAATTTTTCATGTCAGGACCTTTTATAGCCGACTATACGGTATGGGTTTTTCTCGTTGTTGAAAGCCGTATGGTGACCTATAATTGCTTTCATCTACTTATTTGAACTCTGGTGGATAGTTGTAGGAAAAATTTCGGAAAAGTTTCCATACACAGCTAAGGTTATTTATTCTTAATGTAGAACATCCTTAGTATTTCTAACAATTCAAAGTTGTGTAACATTTAATTTATTAATATGACAATATCGATGATAATTCATGTCAACACAGAAATGCTTAAGGTAGATTCATAGTATACCGCCATCTTGGATTGTACTATTGCAGTATACAATCAGTCTAGTTATTTGCCCAGTCTGCAAATTTGTAGACATATGTGCAATTGTATTGATAAGACTGTTTATTTATATGAAGAAAACTTGTGGATTTATTGCATTATTCAAAATATTTAAACAAACACCAATTATTTGTGTTTTAGAATCAATTTTTTCAACGAAGCCATTTAAGGGGAGATAACTCTTTTATTAACAAATTTTTACTGGACTGATAGGGAAGGTTTTTATTTTTACTTGTAGCAAGAAAACAAGTTCGGTGACACCATTTTTTCTTTTTATTTTCTATAAACATATTATAAAACCTTTCTTCTCACAATTTGTTTCAAAATTCTATCTCGTAGATTTTTTTTTATGCTCAAAAATGTGTTTTTTCATGATCATTCTAAGCAAATTAAGGCAATTTTCAACGACTCATAGCTTAAAAAATAGCACTGTGACCCATCCTTTTTATTATATTTTTGAAAAGAACATAGTAAAATCTTCATTTTGGCAAAGTATAAGAAAATTCTATCTCAGGAAACATATACCTATGATCTACCTTAAGAGCTCGGTCAAACACTATGGTATACAGCTTTATTTACTTGTCCATAGCTATTGATTAACTCTGATGTCTTCATCAGTAGAAATCACATCATACCAATGCATAGACAATAACGTAAATTTACAAAGACACATCAGATTTACATGCAGTTCCGTTATGATTACTCTTGTACATGATCATTAAAGTTGTTTATCGATGAATATTACCGTCAGCTGACCATGAATATCAGTATTGTCCTTTATACCGTTCCTATTGCTCACCCAGATTGTAGTATTGGGAATTTAATTTGGACATTTAAATTTACAAGTTGGTATAGTTAGAGCTGATGAAAAGCAGATCACTTATGCATTTAACATATACTGTATATATACCTTGATGCCATCCTATTACTTCACCTGTTTCATTCACTATTATAGTAATGAAATGAGATATGCTGTTGTTTCAAAGCCGACGCGAAAAAAAACAATCTACGGTATACTAACTGATATTGTCGTCTTTGAATAAAAAATATTTTTAAATGATTTATTGAATAGCTGAAATTGCTCCAAACTAGCTTTCGGTAACTGTGTTAATTCTTAGATGGGTACTTTCCGTCTTTTATCCTTTTATTGTTTGAAATTATTTTGTGTGCTTCGTGTCGATCTGATGAGTCGGGTTTTTTGCTGCTAATGTTTGTTCTCATGTAAGGTGGAGAGTGAGCACTCAAAGACATATATAAGTGAAATGTCGTTGGTTGCTGTCTTCTTAATTTGTATTTGTTCATTGGTTTTGTCCATTAGGACGTTGGTTTCATAGTTGGTCATGACGTTTTTGTTTTATAAATTACTATACAGTATGAGTTTTTCTCATTATTGAGAGGTGTAAGGTTGTAGTTCTTTTGTGTGTTTCGTGTCGATCTGATGAGTCTGATATGTTGCTGCTAATGTTTGTTCTCATGGAAGGTGGAGAGTTGAGCACTCAAAAACATACAAAGTGAATTGTCATTGGTTGCTGTCTTCTTAATTTGTGTTGTTCATTGGTTTTGTCCATCAGGACGTTGGTTTAATAGTTGATCATGACGGTTTTTTTTATAAATTACTATACAGGATGAGTTTTTCACATTATTGAAAGGTATAATGCTGATCGGTGTGAGCCAATGCTCCGTGTGAAGGCCGTACCTTGACCTATAATGGTTTACTTTTATAAATTGTAACTTGGGTGGAGAGTTGTCTCATTGGCACTCATACCACATCTTCCTATATCTATATAAGGTGTCCTATCTATATGTAGTTACTTGCATCTATGTCATTTTGTCTCATTGGTTATCATACCAACTTTCTTTATATATGCATTTTAAATTCTTTTGATAGATTTAATTGCTGTGGATTTATATTTATACGCTGTGTTCTAAATTTAGATGATTTCGTTGGTATTGTGAAAAAAAGAATTCAAATTTTCAAGGAAGTAAACATTTTTCATTGGTTTTTATATAGTCTTTTGCTAAACAAAGGAATCAAATCCACCATGTCCCTAAATCTACGAAAATTGTAACCTACAAAAATGAATTCACAATTATTTGTTTAACATGTTGAAAAGACTGATTTTTAATACACACATTTATTCGATTCATATTGATCAATTTTGCTCTGACTATATAATGTATATGTCGGATATATATACATGATATACTAAATTATTTTTGTTCAGAATTACTGTTTCAATTCAATTTAAACAAAGGTTTTAAATAACGATACCAACTACATTATCTATTATTAATTAAATATTTAAACCTTCTAATCATCTTCACAAATAATTAGTTAAAGTTAAAATTGAAAAGAAACACATCGCATTTCAAAATCAATTGTAACATACAATACAGATCAAATAATTTTACATAACTGTAACAATACTATATCATTGATGATATTAAAAATAATATTCTTATGCAGTTGAATAGTGAAATACAGACTAATTAAGTTCATAAACAAATTTAGCCTCGGACTCGGTTTTAAAAAGGTTTCCCAAACGTAATGGGAGAATAATTTGAAATGAAATTAAACACAATCTGGTTTCTTGTGCATTATTCTACTATTCCAGTCTAGACGAAAACTGTTCTTATCATATAATGATACCTATATATTTTTTGATTGAACGAACTAGACAGAGGTTCACTCTTCACTGAGAAAATAAACAATTTCTGTGAAACTTTCATTTTCTTTTTTTTCGGCGTTTTATTACACAAAGTCGATAATTATGTGATTATTTAAACCACAATAACAGTAAGGCTATTTGGTAAACAAACAAAAAATAAACTACAGACTAAAGCGATCGCTTTTTTTTATTCGAGTGTCACTGATGAGTCTTTAAAAGACGACACGCGCGTCTGACGTACACAATGTTTATCCTGGTATCTATGATGAGTTTATTCAGTAGTGTCGCGGCTGCGTCATCACCTCGAGTTAGGGGAGTTTTGAGTTCAATTCCTAACCGGTAAGAACAAAGACTAGTCGGCTTGTAGTCTAAAAAGTTTGTCTTCCTGCCAACTGTTACCGTGTCAATTAACACATTTATAAAAAGAAATACTCAGCGTGTCGATCATATTCAAATCACA